TCCCCAGGGGTGATATAGTAATAGCAAAGAGTCCATTTGACCCACGTATGAATATTTGTAAAAGGGTTATTGGACTGGAGGGTGACAAGGTCTGCACGAGTTCCCCATCAGATCTGTTCAAGGCCCACACTTATGTGAGTATGTTTACATTTCTTATACATCCTGTGATTACTTGCTTTACCATGGAAGGTTCCATGTAGCATTTTTAGAGTCTCTTTGGAAGAAGAAAAGGTTAAAAAGATAAAGTAAAATAGAGAATAAATGAAGAATGAGTTTACAAGAAAAGTCTTGGTAGTTTGTTTCACTGTAAAATGACAAACAGAATCTCTATGCATAATGCAAAACCGTCTCTCAGCTTGTCTTTGGTTTTCTTTGTGTCTGTGTGCCGCAGTCTATAGACGATCATCGTTGTTTGCATTTTAGACCGCACACATCCATTTTGTGTCATTGGTCAAAATATCAGCTTTTGACAACACCTATATTTCCTCAGAACAGTGATAAAACCAGAGAGTGAGCAGGGGGTTCTGCTGCTGAAACCACTGTCATTGCTTTTCTATTACTACTCTCCCCAACGCCCACAGCTCAGGCCTGCAATCTCTCTGAAGCCTGTTAGAGTTAGTGCCAGCCGAATGGACAGACTGATGGGTGGGCGGAGGTGTGTGTGTGTGTGTGTGTGTGTGTGTATGTGTGTGAATACGTCCACAAACCAAAGGTTGCGTTGCATGTGTTGCATGTTTTTGAATTTTATGTGTATTTTATAGACTATGGGCAGACTGTTGAATAAGTTCAGCAAAACATAGCATAAGGTCACGCCTGTAAGTGTCATTCAACAAATAAAATAGGAAATAAAGAGGTTTCCTCTTCTACTAGCTTCACCCGACACATACAGGGGACTGAACTTGTAATCGGTGACATCATTGTGTTGTGATTCGTGATCCCAGTATGTAAAGACAGATGATCAATTTGAGCCATTTTTAAACTTCGCGCTCGGTGGACAGCTACTATATTTTTGGTTTGTCCATCAAGCTCAGGATAAAACTTCATTTTGGATGCTCCTTTAATTTCCTTCAGTTATATCTCAAAACCAATCGATACATGCCAATATCTTGGTGGCATGTGGTATGTTTCAGGCCACTTTGTAATTCTTCAAAGCTGTCAGTTCACTAATCTGTTGTCCAAAATCAATCCAAATCAAGACCATGGGGATCTGCTTCCCACTCATGAATATAGTTAGTGAGTTATATGTTATGGATCCACAAATCAGGGTTACTTACACTAATTCTAAAGATATGGTTTTGCTTATGAACTCGTACACCTCAGTTGCCTTTGTCTAACAGGAATTTTGGAACTATGTAGCTTCATCCAGTTTCAAATTTAAGTTTTTAACTCAAAAGAGGAGATCATACCAGAGTAAACACATCACTCTTTTTGCCTGTGTTTACTTCTTGACTCAAATCAACTTCAGGTTTAAAAAACACTGTGAATAATTACAGTTCACACAGATAAGATTCAAAGTAGCGACAATATACAAAAGTGCGTTGTATAATATAATTCAAGGGCCTCTGTTCAGTCAATGCATGTTGTTAATAGAACAGTTTAATGCGTTTTTTTTTTATTTTAAATAGGGCTGCAATTATCAATTCCTCCCCAATTGAAACAATTAGTTGTTTACAAAACTGAAGCAGAATAATCAGTTAGATTAGCCAATGAATCTGTTGAACAACAAATTGAATGTCACAACTGTCACAACAGACTGCTTTTGTTTCTGCACTGCTTCAGTTCTCTGTCATACATGCAGCTCAAATAGTGCTCATTTTTGAAAACGTAAAACTGCTTAATTTGATAAAGTATTGATTCCTAACAGTGTTGCATTGTATTTGACCCATCAAAGATTCCGAATATCTGTTTCAGGGTTGAAAGAGATATCTGTAAGCCTCAAAGATGAGTTACAACAAATGGACCTGGAATTGTTTTAGGTATTTGGTGGATGACGGGACTTGTGCTCACAGCAGAAATAGAGAGAGAAAAAAATATTGATAGAGTTTATGATTCTTTTTTTTTTTCGTTTTCGGGGAGGGACAATTTCCCCCCTTGAAACCGCATTTATAGGCACAAGTAAGTGACACGGTTTAGTTTTTTTGTCAAGTTTTGCATGTGTATTTGTAATACTATGCCACTCTAAACATTTGTCAGCTTCGCAAACAAAGCAGGTCAGAAGCTTGAAATAACCACTGGGCTAGTCTTCACAAAGGTCATTGTTTTTAATATCATGCAGCCTAATATATGCTTTCCAATGTTCATCTTTTAACTCCCAGGAGCCAAATCACCGGCTTTATGTAACAGCATTTGAGGTAACTGTGAGAATGCCCGCTGTTAACATACATGTTTGGGCTCCCTGAGGGAATTTCTTTCCCCAGAGGATGTATGTGTTTGTGTGTGACAATTAGGATGGTGTGAGGCATTATGGGTGGACCTGTAAAGAGGAAGATTTTGGAAGGCAGTGGTAGATCCTGTCATCACATCTTTTTTTTGATCTAACAGTGGACTAATTGCCCTGTCACCTTTTAGGAATCATTTCTGTGTCTGAGCTATTGTGTCAAAACAATGACACTTGATCCCTAATATTACAGCAAAGCGAGGTAAAGAGAGAGGTGGACAGAGAGAGATGAAATGTCCCCATACGTTCTCTTCTTTTCAGTAAAGATAGACAGAGTAATACGGTGAAAGATGAACTCTATAAGCCTGTATGTATTTAAGCTGAACATAATTCACCACCTCAATCATGTTAACATAATGAGCACTGTAATGGTGTGGCTGTTAAACAACACACCTCCACGGCGAGGAGATCTCCAGTTGCAGGAGCTCTCGACACGTCTCTGACAGGTACACAATGCCTCGCTTCGACCCAGCCTACAACCGCGGGACAGGTTCAATTTCTGCCTTCCATCATACCAGAACCGCCAGCAGAGCGGATCAAAGTGACTCCACGTCCTAATACTAAAACTCTGTGTTAGGCCTACCTGGATCTCATTGTGGTTGGAAACATCTGTTGATGACAGTCAAAACCACATGTTTATACTATTAATGTGCCAAACTAAGGAATGACTTGGGTATTTCCACACCGCCCTGTCTACAGAGAAACTTCTGAAACACAACCTTTCATGTGCATGTGAAAAATTGAGTGACGCTAATTGCTTTGTGGTTATTTACAGGTGCTTTAAACAGCAGTTGTATTTGAGTCAAGGATGGTGCATCATACCTCTGCTTTGGATCAACGTAGTTTTAATTCAGAGCATCGCCTTTGACTTACTCCCCCCCCCCCCCTTTACACACACCTGCTACTTGCAAAGCGATATGCTAAGCTTTTATCCTCATACTGGCCACAGTACAGCAGGTCAAGTTTCAGACCTCTTCACTTTCTGAAATACTACTTGGTTGATCCCTGAAGTACTTTTGTCTTTACCCAGGCTCTAGTTTCTCTTTGAGGTCATTTATGTTACCGGACTCAAATTTAAGTGCTTACTTTAGCTGTTGTCGATCGGATTGATTGACCTTCACTGTGGTATTGCTCAGACTGGATCCTAAATATATCAGAAGTGAAGTTTGTGTGTGCTGTGGATTCACCAAATTCCAGATAGCCGCTTGGAATTTCTTTATCAAATCTCTACGTTTTTATGGATGAGCACAACGAAGATGATGCTTATTTTTTATAGAAGATGAGGAGAAAAGGGGAGTTCTGGTTTGGCAGATGACAAACGTTGGTGTTTATTTTTCCTGTGCTTGGGAGCCAACATATGTTACCATGTTAATGAGGTGTGATGGTGGGAATCCAGCGTGCTGACATATGGTTCTCAGATGACTCCTTTAATGATATTCATTTGCGTCGTTGTTATTTAGTGAGTTGTTTACCTCATGTTAGGTCAACATGTCACCGGCTCGTGATTATGTCACATCATCTGTCTCAATTATCGAATATGAAACGAAACGCAGCATCCCACAGCAGGACCGAAGACTAAATGGCGAGTGGGGTGATGGGGCTAAGAAATACGAGCATAGGCGAAGACGCGACGTCGCTTCTTTGTGGATACTATTCTGTTTCTTTATTCATGTTTTTCTCTTTCCCCCAGAAGACTTTTGCCGTTAAAAAGTTAGGCAACACAAAAATAGACTCGTGGATTGTGATGCCCATTATGACAATATAATGTGTTGTTGATCCTGTCTGCACATATAGGGGGGACAGCGCACTTAATTAGGGCCTTGACAAGCCTACTCTCCTAAAGTGATGAGATTAATCATAATTGGTGTCACAGTGAATTAGAGCCCGCTTGGATAACCGCCCCACTGGCAGGTCGGACTACGGTGGAGACCCTTGGACACTGCTGCTAGCCGCAGCTTAGCCCTCTCTATCTCCCTTTTGTTTCCTCCCTCTTGCTCTGTCTCTCTCTTTCTCTGCCCAGCTATCTCAGGCCCCTCTCTTGCTTTGCCCTCCCTGGGTAAGAGGGGCGCAGATCTCAGCCAACAGCCTAATGACCCCGTTTGAAGTTCTTCTAAATCCCCCCCCGACCCTGCCTGTTACCCATGACCCCTCTCCTAAGACGGTTCAGGGTTAAAGAGGGACAGGCAGGTTGACGTTAAGATAGGCTGAGGAGGGAGGGACGGCTGAGGCGGCTTGCTGGGGGTAGAGGGTGGGCTTAAGGTAGATTCTCACTACATCATAGATCCGCTCACTTTTACATGTTATACTTGCAATTTCAGAGATTTGATTTCTATCTGATTACTACATGTTAACCATTTGTTTGCCCTCTGTCCATGTGTGTGGTGATGTTTTCAGGTTCCTAAAGGCCATGTATGGCTAGAAGGGGATAACCTTCGGAATTCCAATGACTCAAGGAGCTATGGCCCAGTTCCCTACGCCCTCATCCGAGGGCGTGTTTCCTTAAAGGTAACAGAGGAGGTGTACTGTATCTTGTTGTGGATTTAATTTATTTTTTTAACAAAATGTGTTCTTTTGCAAAATCAGAAATATCGTTTTGATTAAATCTCTCATATATGGGTTCTAGCCGAGTTTGGTGTTTATTTTTCTTTTTTTCTTTCTTCATTCGGCCTATCATTAGTCCGGTACGGCCATTTTTAAGCACAATTCAGAGACGCGAGTCAGTTGGAAGTTCAAAGCAAGTGTGTCTGATTGACCAAAGCCGGGACAACATATTGTCTAGCTTTCCATTCTGCTGTGTTGTCATGTCACTGGATGTCATAGCAACCATGACCCTGGAAACAGGTCAGCCAACCTTCTGTCCATCTGATTGGACAGCGGCACTCCACTGGAGGCCCTATTGCGACAGCTGATGAACTAATAAGATCTCTCATGAAATCAAATGCTTCATTAAAAGCCATATTAGTAAATGTGTCCATAAGTGTTGCACATGATGGTTAGAAGTCCTGCATTTAGCTTCTTGTGAGTCTCACCTCTCTCTTAACCCATTGTTTCTCTATACCCTTTGTCCTACACAGCTCTGGCCACCACACAGTTTTGGGACCCTCAGTGAAAGCCCGACCCGACGGATCATTAAGACTCAGAGTGACTCAGACTGACTCATTCACTTTGTTTGTACAGTACGTTGCTGTTTTAAATCAATTTTTGAATAAAGTTCATATGTATTTCGATTTTGTTATTTTATTTTAAAACACGGTTATTCTTTAACCATGCTGATGTGATCAGCACCATGCAATCATACATGCTTCAGTTATACATTTATTTTAGTGTTTTATAACTGACAAGATTCTGTCATCTGGGACATCTGTGCAGCACTATAAGAACAGCGCGTGAAGCTTTGTCTCTGTGGAACTGCTAATGGCAGAGAGTGGGCAGTGGCAATACACGAGGTTCATGTTGGGAATCATGATCATTAAGTAATAAGACACACATAAGTTTTAAATCAACACATTAGAGACCAAATCATACCCAAGATTCACTGGGAGGGCTACCTGTGGTTGAACTTAAATGCTGAGTTTAATTTGCCCTAAAATTCACCTAAACCACATATTAACAAGACAGAAGTACATGTGTTTTAAACAGAGATATCTGTCTAAACCTATCAACTATGACCTCGGGAAATGCATGTCTCATTCCTTTAAAGAAAATATTAATTTCATATTTACCCTTTCTTAGTATTATGGTAAAAACAAAAGCTCTCTTATTGTTTAATATTTAATTAGGCTGCCAGGGCAACTGAAAAAATGTTAACATTTCCCATTTAACCATACAATATTAATACCACTTAGTAAGAGCCTCACTCACCACTCAAATCAGTGTGTGTGTGTGCGTGCACGTGCGTGTGTGTGTGTTGTGTCCAGAGTCTCACACCCAGTATGTTGCATGCACTTAAGACACAGCATTATTGTCAGCTTTCTGTAGTAACCACACGTCATATATAGACGTGGTTTCTCTTATCCGGGTAAAGGACAAAGAAAAACTTGTTAAACACAGCTACTTTAGAGAAACCTGACTTCTTGGTCACATATATACCTTAAACCAGGTCTCTTAAGTGGATTTTTACAAGAGCACATGTGCATGACAAAGACTTAACAGTGGAAGTAATGTGGCAGTAGTGGGAAGAAAAAGGAGCATTGCTGTACATCTTTGTTTTGAATCCAAAATAATTAAATCCAAAATTGGAATAAGCTGAAGCTAAAATATAATAGTCTAAGTAAAGCAGTTTCCACCCGTGGACAGCAGGTAATGTTCTAACACAAGCACAAACAGGATCACATTTATCATTCTGCTTACTCTCACAAAAAAAAGGCCATGCATTGCTGCCCACTTCTAAGGCCTGCTCATCCTCCTCAGACCTTCCTGGACACAGGGACATAACAGCACATCCACATACTGAGCTGTGGAAGCTCAGCTGGTCATTCTCCGAGGCAGAAAGGGACTCTTCTCCTTCGAGCTCCCGAGGGGAAGTGAGTTGCAGGCAGCCGTGGGTCCCTGTCCAGCTGCTTCCTCTGTCTGGAGGGGGCCAGAGGGTCAGAGACAAGGCTCCCTGTGACACTGAATTATCTGCCTGAGTGTGATTGTGCCTGCTGGGAGGGATGCTTAAGATTGTGGGAGCGTCTGTGTGTGTGTGTGCATATGAAAAATATGTATGCAGAGTTTTGCTTCAAGCACATCTTTGTTTCTCAAGGTTTAATATTCATCTGCTGCGTGTCAACACGGTGCCCGTCTTCAGCTGAAATGCTGACAGAAGTAATCTTAGCGTGCTCCTTTAAAGATACTGCCCCATAGAGGGAGCTCTGACTGTTTACTAATGTAACTCGAGCCCTGCTGGAGCTGTTTATGATTTAAAGTACTGTTAACTAGGATACATCTGAACAAGATTCACACCACCTAATGTACAAGTATCTCGCTTATTTCTTGTTCTCAAGGAGAGAGAGGCCAGTGTCACACAATTATGCTCGACCAGACTCCCCTCATACCTAAGTTTGAGCTGCATATTATTTGAAGTATACACATACAGCCCGTATGTTGCTTTTGCTGTCATCCTTCGAGTTGTGTCAGGAGACCAGAGTTTCAAAGAGATGACCGGGCAGAGGTGTATATCATTATCATGCTGAGTGGGCACAAAAGCTGGGAGTGAGGCAGGAAGAGATAGAGATCGGAAGAAACGGACAACAGACAGCTGTGCTGAGCTATGCAGCACCACAGAGGCAGGCTGTGGGCTGTCAGCAGGGCTGAGATGTGTCTGCTGTCTCTGTAACAGAACAGGGAACGGAGCACAAGTGTACTGTCATGATGTGGCTACTGTATGTAGCTGTACATCTGAAATATCATGCTCAAGATCGAATGTTTTATGGGCATGAGGAATGATTATATAGTTCATATGAGTAACTACTGTGGCAAAGGAAACTGTCACTTTTCTGTGTGATTTAAAGTAAGAATATTTGATAGTTTTCAATATGTAATGTAAACAAATGGCAGTGAAAGTGAAAAGCAAACTATTCACAATCCTTATGATTTGGCAGTACACTCCTATAACATTGTTGGACTCATGATGGAAAGTAAAAAATCAATGCAGTTGACCCAGAGTTGTCATCCTTTTCCTTTCACACATTCTTCCTTATTCCTGGTGCCTGCATTACCCACAATGCACCTCAACCAGTCAGACATTCAGATGTAGTAGTGGTTAATGTAAATCCAAGCCTCTAGCCTTGAGTAGAGGTGAGCGGGCTACATACGTCTGGTAAGCTCACTTCTTTCTAACTCCGTACTCCAAGATTTCTTTAATTCTCTAAATTGTAATCTTTAGAATCAACGGATCACTTGAGGCAATTTATTAATTTATTAGTTTTTTTACATATGCGGTAGTACTATAACAAATGTAAACAGACTGTCATGTGTAAAACTAGTGGAGTTCCAAGTTTATCGTTTATGTAATGGAAACTCACTACATAAAATGTACTGTTAAGTTTCCAGATATTTTTTGTTATTATTTTAGATGAAATTGCTTTCCTTTTCAGGTCTGACACTTCTTTTTTTACTGCCATTTTGCATAACATTTATGACTTTGTGTCCAAATCCTCAACAAACCGTGATTACAAATACATCCCTTTGTTGCTTCTCTGCCACAGTCGATGTGTGTATGAGGGTTTTTAGAAACTACTGTAATCATCAAAATTAGCTCAGCAAATTACCCTGATAAATGCTCATTATGTTAAGCCAATAAACAGTGGCTGTACGTTTATTGTCTTGGGCTTGTTTTCCTATGTTTACTAAGAGCCTGCAATGAGTCAAAAAAGCAAAATGACCAGATTTTTATGAAAAAATCAAATATTTTCTGGGTAATTTGGATATCCAATGAATATTTGAGTAGTTTTAACATCAGGTTTGGCCCTTAATTTCATACTGTGCAACATTATTTACTTTAAAATTAACAGTTTGATCAGTGTATTGCTTTGGGAAGGATGGTGATGATTATTGTTACTCTTATTATTATTTAACTCAGGACAGGGTCCTCCTACTTGCTCTTGCTACTGTATCTTCTAAAACTGTTGTCCACAAAAAATATAGGAGTTGAGCAAGAGAAACATGCGAAATGACTGGAGGGGGCAGAAGGGATAAGAGGGAACTGGAGTGGAGAATAGTTGAATATGGGGCACAGATGGGAAGACATGGCAGTATCTTTTTATCTTGATTCCTTAGTTCATTTGAGGTTAATTGAATACTTTAAAAGCGCAGAGACACGTGAAAGAGAGCGGGAGGTTTGGCTAAAGAGAGTAAGAGAACCGCCCGTCACTGGTAATGGCCTGGTTTGTTTGTTTTCATATCCATGGTAGAGAACGTGACCCAAAAGTAAACTTGGGTCAGACGCTGCAGCATTACTCAGACAGCCGAATGTCTCTTTTAGTGCTGTCTGCAAACAAATATATCCTTCTCCTAAAGACACACCACCAGGTCACTGATGAAAACTTATGTAGCCTTTATCACACAGAACTTTTGCTAGTCAGTAACATAGTCTAAGACACATCAATCACACTCCTGTGTGAATTCTACCATGCTTCAGTTCTCCTTCCCTCTTTTGCATATTTTTGCTCTGTTGATGCATCCTGTTTTCTGCCTTCACTTTTCCTTTACCCTCCCTCTTCTCCCAACTACTCGTGTTGCTGTGAGCTGATAAGGGAATTGCTCCTTTCATTGACGGATCCTTTAATTCTCTCCTTTTAATCAAGCCTGTTAGTACTTCTTAATTAAGACATCACAGGAGCGTTTCATCACGCTTTTCTCTGTGTGTGTGTGTGAGAGAGAGAGAGACCATGAAAAAGAGTGGGAGTACTCTACAAGTCCCTATTCTGTGTGTGAAGATGACTGAACAGCTTCAAGTGGGGTAGCTACACCTCCTCCAACTCTGTTCTGCCAGCCCTTGAGGTTTGTGGTGTGTACATATCCCAAGCCAACAAGTGTCAACCTCCAGAGATCCATACTAGACAGATGGTATTGGAAGCTTGGTAGGACGGCTATCGAGCTTCCTACTGTCAGTTTGTTGATCACACACACCAGGCTGTCAATACTCACAGTCCACTAATCAAAGAGGGTAGAAAAAAACAACCCAGCACAAAGACTATTTAGAAGGCAAAACTTAACTTTTGCTGGATTTCATTAAAGTGAGACTGGGAATTTCAAAAGACCAACAGCAGCACTTGTATATTTTTGCTTGTTTAAACATATTTTGTGAAGAAGTCAATAGAACAGTGAAGCTGAGGGTTTCACAGGAACATTAGCCTGCCTTTGGCCTTAGTGTTTTCCCCCCCTAAAGGCAGTTAACACTATTTGTGCTTCTTCCCTCTAATGGTGCGGGTGGGTGGGAATATGTGTAAGTATGGGGTGGGGGGGGCCTCTGCTGTACATACAGTACACTCACTGTGGGTCCTAATGGAAAGCTATGGGACCTCTATCCTCAGGCAAGGAGTGATGCATAGAGTGGAGGGCAGGGAGGGGGGTGACAGAAGCCTTAGTCTGACAGGCCTGACCTATATCCCTCTTCGCTTAATAGAGAGAGGGAGAGAATAATTGGTAGTTGCTGTTAGGAGCGCTCTCTTTCTGGATAGTGTTTTCTGTGGTCAATATATAGAGCAGTAGGCGAGGGTGAGGAGTTTCCATCGTCACTTCAGTCTCTTCTTTGTCAGCTTTGGAAATAATAAGACAGGCCTTGTCTTGACACAACAAATTGTCTGTGTCATTAGCATGATCATAAGTCCAGTGGCTTCCATACTGAAACAAACTAAAATGTGTGTCTGTCTTTCTCTCTGATGGTCAGTCAATTAGTCGGTCAGTTGGTGTGTATGTGCTTGTGAGTCACAGAGATTAAGGTACACTGTGTGTGTGTCTATGTGTGTGTGTGTGTGTGTGTGTGTGTGACATCCCATTCTAGGATTCTATGTCTATATATATATATATATATATATATATATATACACATATATATACAAGTATTGTATCTGGGAAAGATAAACAACAATCCAAGAGAAGAAGAACAACTCTGAAGTCACCATGGACCAACCTCAAACACCCATTGAGTGTGCCGATCCTATTGCCTCTGAAACTGCAACAGAGGCAGGAAGTGAGGACAAGCTCTGGTGGTTCGTCACCCATGTGACAGTAAAATTGGTGAACAAGTGTCAAGCTCTCCAGATCTCTGGTTAAACAGACGATAGAGGGACTCGCTATCACTGAAGGCTTCTGCCCGGATGCCAAGAGTACCAAAAAAATGTGAAGGCTGTATTCAAAGACCTGCAGAAGAAGTTTTACGGTAAAAAGCTGCTAGAGACTTTAATGCCGGTGTGGATGCAGCCATCGTCAAGTCTTTGCAGGCCCACATCACACAGAGGTCTGCTCAGCTTGCAAAGAAGGAGGCCTCCTGTTGCTGTAAAGATCTGGCTTACATTGCAGGTTTAGTGGCTTTGACTGCAGTTTTAGTTGGTGTCGTCACTTTAATGATACTCACATGAAGCAGCTGCAGTGTGCTTAGCCATATACCCGGACAGCGAGGATGCCTAATGACGAACATCCATGCCCATGTTGGAATACGCCTCATAAACAGCATTAATCACTACGATTTGACCAATTTGAGGGCAAAGTCCTACAGGCTGCCTAAAAGCCTACATGACAAACCTCTACCTCTCCAAGGACTCCGAGAAAGTCACAGACGCCAAGTAGGAAGGCATTGCTGCAGCCACAATGTTCATGCCAGAAACGGAGAATGAGTTATTAAGCGACACTCAGCAGTGGCGTTTGATGGCAACGCCGTCCTCTTCTCAGGAGAGTCAGAGATCATCGTGAAGAAACACGGCCTGGACACTTTCTTTGAGAACGAGCAGGTGTTTGAGAACTGGATTAGCAATCTAATGTGAT